TGATTTGTGGATGTTGAACCATCCCTATGTCCTTGGTATAAATCCCACTTGATCATGATGTATGATCCTTTTTATACATTGCTGTATTCGAGTTGCCAATATTTTGTTGAGGATTTTTGCGTCTATGTTCATCAGCGATATTGGCCTGCAGTTTTCCTTTTTTGTGTTGTCCTTGTCAGGCTTTGGGATCAGAGTGGTGCTGGCCTCGTAGAATGTGTTAGGAAACATTCCATCTTCCCTGATTTTTTTGGAATAGTTTGAGAAGGATAGGTATTAAATCCTCTCTGAAAGCTTGGTAGCGTTCCGCAGGGAAGCCCTCTGGTCCTGGGCTTTTATTCTTTGGGATGCTTTTGATTACTGTTTCAATCTCTTTACTTGTGATTGGTCTATTCAGATTCTCTGTTTCTTCTTGATTAAGCTTTGGGAGGTTGTAAGAGTCTAAGAATTTATTCATTTCCTCTAGATTGTCCATTTCGTTGGCATATAGTTTTTTGTAGTATTCTCTTATAATCCGTTGTGTTTCTGTGGTATCCATTGTTATTTCTCCTCTGTCATTTCTAATTTTATTTATCTGAGCTTTCTCTTCTTTTTTTCTTTGTAAGTGTGGCTAGGGGTTTTTCTATTTTATTTATCTTCTCAAAGAACCAGCTCTTTGTTTCATTGATCCTTTCTACTGCCTTTTTTTGTTTCAATAGCTCTGATTTTTCTTTTGTTTCTCCTCTGGTTTTTATTATTTCTCTCCTTCTGCTACCTTTGGGCTTTGTTTGTTCTTCTTTTTCTGATTCAGTTAGTTGTAGTTTGAGATTGCTTATTTGGGATTTTTCTTGTTTGTTAAGGTAAGCATGTATTGTGATGAATTTCCCTCTTAATACAGCTTTTGCTGCATCCCATATGAGTTGGTATGGTATGTTTTTATTTTCATTTGTCTCCAGATGTTTTTTGATTTCTCCTTTAATGTCTTCAATGACCCATTGCTTATTCAGTAGCATGTTGTTCAGTCTCCACATCTTTGTCCCTTTCTCAGCTTTTTTCTTGTAATTAATTTCTAGCTTTATAGCATTGTGATCAGAAAAGATGCTTGTTATTATTTCAATCTTCTTAAATTTATTGAGGCTTGCCTCGTTTCCCAACATATTGTCTATCCTTGAGAATGTTTCGTGTGCACTTGAGAAGAATGTGTATTCTGCTGTCTTTGGATGTAGTGTTCTATATATGTCTATTAAGTCCAACTGGTCTAGCTTTTCATTTAATTCCACAGTTTCCTTGTTGATTTTCTGTCTGGATGATCTATCCATTGAAGTGAGTGGAGCGTTGAGGTCCCCTAATATTATTGTGTTATTATTAACATCTTCTTTTAGGTTTGTTAATAGTTGCTTTATGTACTTTGTTGCTCCTGTGTTGGATGCACAGATATTTATAATTGTTAATCCTTCTTGGTGGAGTGTCCCTTTGATCATTATATACTGCCCCTCTTTGTCTCTCTTTACCTGTCTTACCTTGAAGTCTACTTTGTCTGATATAAGTATTGCAACACCTGCTTTCTTTTGTTTGCCATTAGCTTGCAGTATCATCTTCTATCCCTTCACTCTGAGCCTGTGTTTGTCATTGGAGCTGAGATGTGTTTCCTGGAGGCAGCATATTGTTGGGTCTTGTTCTTTAATCCATCTCACCACTCTGTGTCTTTTTATTGGAGAATTCAATCCGTGTACGTTTAGGGTGATTATTGATATATGAGGGCTTAAAGCTGCCATTTTATCACTCGTTTTCTGGTTTTCCTACATTTCCTTTGTTTCTCGTCCTGTGTATTTTGGTCTACCAGTCAAGTTATGTAGATTTTTATGTTGTGTTTCTTTGTTTCTCCTTATTTATTATTCATGTCTCTGTTCTGCTTTTTTGTTTAGTGGTTACCCTGAGGTTTGTATTCAAAATCTCTTGGATAAGATAGTTCCTTTTCTGATGGCTTCTTATTTTCTTAGACTAAACTGATTCAGTCCCTTTCCTCTTCCCCCCAAGCTGTTTTTCTCACATCTTATTCCATCTTGTGTTATGAGTTTGTGGTTAGAATGACAATATTATCTTTGTTTTTGGTGTTTTCCTTCTCTTTGTCTTTAATGGTATATTTGAATATTTGCTATCCTCCTCTGATTCTGACTACCTATTTATGTCCTTACTCCATGCTTTGTAACCCCTTTCTCCCTTTTTTTTCCTTCAAGTATGAGGGCCTTCTTGAGGATTTCTTGTGTGTGTGCGTGGTGGGTTCTCATGGCTACAAACTTCCTTAGCTTATGTTTGTCTGGGAAATTTTTTATTTCTGCATCATATCTGAAAAATATTTTCTCTGGATAGAGTATACTTGGCTGAAAGTTTTTTTCCTTCAAAGATTTGAATATGTCATTCCAGTCTCTCTGATCCTGTAAGATTTCTGCAGAGAAATCTGCTGAAACCTTGATGGAGTTTCCTTTGTAGGTCATTTTCTTCTGCCTTGCTGCCCTTAGTATTCTTTCTTTGTCATTCACTTTTACCAGTTTCACTACTACATACCTTGCAATAGGTCTTTTTACATTGACATATTTAGGATATCTGATACCTCTTCCACATGGATTTCCTTCTCCTTCCCTAGGTTTGGGAAGTTCTCTGCTATTATTTCTTTGAGCAAGCTTTCTGCTCCATTGTCCTTCTCTTCTCCCTCTGGAATACCTGTAATTCTTATGTTGCATTTCCTCATTGAGTCAGATATTTCTTGGAGACTTTCTTCATTTCTTTTTAGTCTTGGTTCTCTGTCCTGCTCTATCTGGAGCATTTCAACATGTCTATCTTTGATTATGCTGGAACACTCCTCTATGATGTCCGCCCGAGTGTTCAGGGAATCCATATTTTGTTTTATTTCTTCCATTGTGTCTTTCATCACTAATAATTCTGATTCGTTCTTCTTTATAGTTTCAATCTCTTTTGTGAAGTAGCCCCTGAACTTGTTGAATTGTTGTTCTACATTCTCTTAACTCGTTGAGTTTTGTGGTGATATCTATTTTGAATTCTTTGTCATTTAGATTACATATTTCTGTGTCCTCAGGACTGATTTCTGGGTACTTGTCATTTTCTCCCTGGTCTGGAGATCTAATGTGATGTTCGACGTTATATTATATTGCTAGAGGGGAGTGGCTCTGTTTTTTCGCATCCTGGTGTTATTTGGTCAAAGTTATCACCTATTGCCACTGGGTGGGGGTGAAGAGCTGCATATTCTGAGCCTTCTGCCTTCAGCAGAAATTCCAGAGGCTGGAGCTGCGTTGGCTGCTGAGGGGAGGGGCACTATTTCCTGCGTGCTCTTGGGGTTTTCTCGCTATCTGCTCTCCTGGGGTGTTGGCTTGATAAGGTCACCCCCCGCGAAAGCTTTTGCCCTGGTAGAGGGCTGCCCGCTAGGCTGCAGGGGCCCTTGGGAGTCCTTGATGTTCCTGCAAATGAACATCCCCTCCCCCATTCCTTCCCTCTTGGAGGCCTCCTGTGGTCCCAGATTGCAGTCTTTGGGAGTGCGCAAAGTTTTCTCTTACCCCTTCCACCTCCTGTGAGGGGGGCTCCAGCCTCTCCGCCCTCCGTCATGTGGCTGTGTGGGTCTCTCTGACATTTTTTATGTTGTGTTTGGATGTCCTCTGTTGGAGTATGAATGACCTTTTCATTGTATGTTGGAGGGGAGAGATTACTAGGAAAGGAAAGCTTGCCCCACCATGATGCTGATGTCACTCTCTGACTGACTTCTTTTACTTAGAATAATAGTTTCAAGGTTCATCCATGTTATAGCATGTATCAGTACTTCATTCTTTCTTTTTGGCTGAATAATGTTTTGTTGTCTGGATAGACCACTTTTGTTTTTCCATTCATCTGTTGATGGACATTTGGGTTATTTCCACTTTTTAGCTATTGTGAATAATTCTGCTGCGAACATTCATGTACAAGCTTTTGTGTGAACCTATGTTTTCAGTTCTCTCAGGGACAGACCTAGGAGTAGAATTGCTGGGTCATATGGCAACTCCACATTTAACCTTCTGAGGAACCGCCAGACCATTTTCCACAGTACCTGCACCATTTTACATTCCCAAAATAACGCATGAGGGTTCCAGTTTCTCCACATCCTCACCAACACTTGTTATTGTCTGTTGCTTTTTAGTATGGCCATCCTAAAGGTGAGGAGTGGTATCTCATTGTGGCTAAATCTATCCTTTAGCCATGAAAATAGCCACCCTTTACCATTGCTCCTTGTGGTAAAGCATGCGGATTCTCTGCGTTAGGCCAGCAGGAGACAGGCTGTGGTCCTGCTTCCCCTGTTCCCTCTATCGGGAACTGGCCTGGAGACCTCCTCCTGACCGAGGACACTACAGCGGGTGGTATGTATGAGCCAAGTGGATCAAGTCCAAACCTGACTTCTGTCCCTTAGTAGCAAGCGTGACCCCAGGCAAGTTACTAAGACTTCCTACACCTCATCTCTGAAATGGGAATCATTTAAGGGGGTGCTACCATCTTTTGAGGACTCTAAGATACACTTCTTTCATGTCTCACCACCTCTGAAACGAGGATGTTTCCTCAAATGTGAGTCAGGCTGGCTGCAGTTGTGACATAGTTGTCACGGCCTGGGCCTACACATCAAAACTCGCCCAGCAGGCGTCAGCTGCCTGGGAGAAAACTCCAGACACAGTAGTGGAGCCTCTTTTTAGCAATGCTGCATCCCCAGTGCTCCTGGCGCACAGGACAATACTGTGGGGACAAACAGGGGCCTTGATGACTCTGAGTCAAAGGGTGATCAGAAGAGCAGACCCCACATGTGAGGAAGTTTGGGGATACTATAGCCAATCTATTTCACTTTTTTTCTTTTTATCTATGCACAAGAGTGATGTGTGGCAAACATCTCTGTTTAAGTAAATCTGAAAGAGCTCTTTCAGTAAGTATAAAATAAAAATTCTAAGTGCTAAGAAACTCTTATGTCAATTAATTGGCACTTTTTTCTTTTTTAGGGGAGCATAAAATTATGACATGTGTTACAATCAGCGATGAAATACAGGCACCTACTTCCCATAATGAGAGGCTGTGAGAGGACCAGATGGGACAATGGGTCTGAAACACTCACCACAGGGCCTGACAGAGAGCAGTGATGGTATCGATGTCGATGGTTAAAAATCTGATTAATAATAATGGACCTACTTGGCTGGTATTACGATGTGTAACTGTTGCCCAGCTTTCTACGAGTAACCCTTCTTCTGACCCTTCACTGAATGATCCTGAAGGAGGAGAAACCATAATAAGTGCTTATTTCTTTTATAGCTCTCAGAAAGATCAATAAAATCAGCTGACCAATGAATGCAAAAATTTTTAAATGTTAATCAAAGACTCTTGGGGAAAAGGCTTGTTGTGTGCTATTTGCAAGACTGGAAGGTGACACACAGATGTTGGCCTCCTGGGGGACATTTACTCTGCATCATACAGGTCATTTGATGGTTTCTGGGCCCCCACGGGTCCATGTGGTTCAGCAGCTCTCCCTTCGAAGTCCAATAACTCTGCCCCTTGTTGTGTGGCCCTCTTCCCAACCCTGGGGTCAGTGACTTCATGTTGGTAGCTTGAAATTGGCCATGTCATGAATATTTATACCACAGAAATTGGCAAATACTATAAATCAGGACCTTTTCTTTTTTTTTTTTGATGAGGAAGATTAGCCCTGAGCTAAAATCCATTGTCAATCTTCCTGTTTTTGCTTGAGGAAGATTGTGGCTGAGCTAACATCTGTGCCAATCTTCCTCTATTTTGTATGTGGGCTGCTGCCACAGCATGGCATCTTGATGAGCAGTTTGTAGGTCCGTGCCTGGATCTGAATCCGTGAACCCTGGGGCCGAAGAAGCAGAGTATGTGAACTTAACCACTACACCACCAGGCTGGCCCCAGGACTTTTTTCGTTTCAGTTAATTTACTAGCATGTCACTGCATCAAATGTACTGAATTCCTGGGTACAAGGTTGTGTCTGTAAGCTCAGTCCCAAACCACAAGCCGAGGGCCACTCGCTGGATCAGCAGGATGTTTGGGCCTTTGAGGAGTTGTGGCACCACAGGCATCTGCCCCTCCTTCCCTGGACACATGTCCTGGCCATACTGGGGTGTCAGTGACCTGCTAGGAGGTTCTTCTTGCAGCAGTTTCAGCTGCAGTAACATCTGCCAGACAAGGGACAAACCGCTCCCTGGTTCCTATGTGGCTGGAGTCAGGCTGGCCGAGAGTTCAGCTTCTGAGGGCTGAGTTAGGGTGAGAGTGGGGCAGGAACAAAGGCACAGCAAAAGAGGAAAATGCTGCATATTTGACAACCGAAAAGAGGATGGAGACAGGCTTTCTCTTAATTCCTCAGGATAGGTGGACCATGGTGGGATTCCTAGACTTCCTGCCGCCCCAGCTCCCCAGGGAGAGCTCAGCAACTGCCAGCCCAGTTTCTCTGCCCTCCCCCTCAACTCTCCTTCAGAGGCTTAGCTGATGAGTAATAACGACCAAGCAAGAGAAGAATGGGGAAGGGGAAAGGAGAGCCAGGCTGCCCAGGGGAGAGAAGGCAGTGAGGAGGGAGGTGTGGGAGCAGCTATGGAGCAGGAGAGAAGGAGATGGGAGGACGAAACGGCAGTACACCTCTTTTTTTTTTTGAGGAAGATTAGCCATGAGCTAACATCTGCTGCCAATCCTCCTCTTTTTGCTGAGTAAGACTGGCCCTGAGCTAACATCTGTGCCCATCTTCCTCCACTTTATATGTGGGACGCCTACCACAGCATGGTTTGCCAAGCGGTGCCATGTCCGCACCCAGGATCCGAACCAGCCAACTCCAGGCTGCCGAAGTGGAATGTGCGCACTTAACAGCTGCGCCAGCGGGCCGGCCCCTAGTACACCTCTTATTTGATTGTTTTTTGAATATATGCACAAGGTACACAATTGCAAAAATCTGCTTTGGTTTCCAGCACCCCGATATTTTCCCTAGAAGTAACCTCTCTTCTCAGTTCTTCGCATATCCTTCCAGAAAGACTCCACGGCAGAGGTTCTCAAACTTCCCTGTGGGTGAGGACCACATGGAGAGCTTGTTAAAACAAGAATGTAACTGATTTCTGGATTCTCTGTTCTGGTTCAGAGGGTCTGAGGATTTGCGTTTCTAACAGGTTGTGCAGTGATGCTCATGTTGCTGGTGCAGGAGCCACACTTTGAGAACCACTGTTCTGGAGGTATTCATAGGAACCCTTTCTATACGTCTCCCTTTTTCTCTGAATTAACTTAGTATCTGTTCCTGGCAATGGAAATGTCCCTCAGACACTATTGATATGGCACAATTCCTGCCTGTGGGCCTCCTCTCTGCTGGTTTCTTTACCTGGAATACCCTCATCCCTGACCTCCACATATCCAAGGCCCAGTTCAAAGGCTGCTTCCTCCAGGCAGTCCTTCTTGGTCCTTTCCCTATATGGAAGAAGTCTTCTGCTCCTTTAAACACCCATAGGAGTGTTGTCTGTATCCCTCTAAGGACACCTGTTATTTATTAGAAAAGGATGTTAAAGGGCCAGCCCGTGGAATAGCAGTTAAGTTCGCATGTTCTGCTTCGGTGGCCTGGGGTTCGCTGGTTTCGATCGTGGGTGTGGACCTACACACTGTTCATCAAACCATGCTTTGGTGGGCGTCCCACATAAAATAGAGGAAGATGGGCACTGATGTTAGCTCAGGGCCAGTCTTCCTCAGCAAAAAGAGGAGGATTGGCGGCAGATGTTAGCTCATGGCTAATCTTCCTCAAAACAAAAAAACCCAACAGGATGTTAAATGGGGCTCTTTCTGCTTTGTTTTTTATAATTTTTGTTAAAGAGACATCAGGCCCTAAAGTGAGTCTGAGAGATCATCAAATGAAGAATTCAGGTTTCAAGACCTTTGGACTTCCCCTGGCCATCTTGGGAGTGTGAAATCGTTGAGAGGATTTTTGGAGGGTTTCTCCGGAGAGGGCTGTGCTGTAAGCCTAGATTGGGGAAGGTAAGATCAAATGATGGTGTCACTTCCTTCCCCTTGAGCCCAGAGGGACTGTGCTCCAATGGCCGCTAGAGCCTAATGCGGGCTGTCTGCACTGGGGACCCCTAGGGACTCACGACCCCCTGCGAGAGCTGAAGCGGCCTGGGGCCAGGCAGAGAGAGCCAAGGATCTACCCTCCACACAGATCAGAGCAAGGGGACTGTCACTGTTTCTTGGGGACCAAGGAACATCTCCAAGGCAGCCATTTTGAGGACATCTTAAATCCCATCCAATATGACAGGGTGGTAGGGGGCTGAGAGGCGATCTCAGCCGAAAGGAAGTGGAGGGTGACCCTGCAGATGCCATGGCTGCACCGTGGCAGAGTCCCAGGAACTGCAGGGAGGCCCCCGGCTTGGGCGCTCCCTCAGGAATGCTCAGAGCGCCCATGAGCACGAGTCACCCTACCCACCTGCCATCCAGAGGGCCCCAAGGTCTAGGGACAAGGGCACCGCCTTGAATTTTGCCCTTTCTCCCTGTGGGCAGGGACTGTCAGCCTGCTGGTGGGAAAGTGGGGTGGGGAGGGGGGAAAAGTCACCCACCTCCTTCTCAGGCAGCCAGGGAGATAGAGGAAAATGTAATGCCAAATCAAATTCAAGGTTTCCATTATTCTATAGGACTGGACTTTCCACTGACAGGAGAATGTGGTTGTGCCTTAAAGGTGCTAAGGACGGTAAGACGGCCATTCCCCAGGGATGGCGAGACCATCCATAGCCCTGCCGGAGTTCTCAGCAGGGGCAGGCCAAATTGTCCCTCTGACTGTGTATGCATCACATTTGCTTAAAATGACCCCCCCCCCCATGTAATCATCTCTCTCACTATGACGCAAACTCTTTGATATCACAGCTTATACCATCTTTGTGGTCCTGTGGTGTCTAGCACCATCCCTGGCACATAGTGGGCACACACAGTGGCTATCTGCCCATTGATTCCTTTATTCTTTCATTCAACATTTATTGAGAACCGATGCTCAGTGCTCGCCATGAGCGGGAGATGAAATGGATGTGCCCCTTGTCCAGGATGTCGCTGTCTGCAGAGGTGGCATAAGAGAAGCTTCTGTAGAGCTCACACCACTCCGGGGGGGCAATCCAAATCCTCGCGAGTCTGGGCAGGCAACACGAGCAAGGCAGTGAGCAAGTTTAAGACAAGAGGGGTGCTGGCAACTCTGGAAGAATGGGAAACGCACGGCGCCCTTTGGAGGGCACAGTGGCTCTTTATTGCTTTCTGAGAGTGCAAGCCCGCTCTTGCCACATTGCCCACTTGTACAAAAGGGGGAAGAAATCTGGATTTTCATGTGAAATGTCCCCAACAAAACACGTCTGTGGGCTGGTTCAGGCCGAGGGTCGCCGTTTGGGGCCCCTGTGCTGCTGTTGGCTCTCTCTCCCTGGAGTCTTGGGTAGAATGAGGGGCTGCCGATCATTGAGAGCCACGTGCTCCTTCTTTGGGAATTAATTAGCCAGGGTTTGGAGAAGCTTTATACAAAGAACTTAGCTTTATTAAAATACTCCTTTGGACCAAGGAATAAATATTTTAAAAATCCCAACCCTAACTGCTTAATCTGCAACAAATAAAAAGAACCCTCTGAAAAGAGCTTACTTCCTGTTTCAGAAGAGTCCCCGTGGCCTCTGCAATCTGATTACCGAGCAGTGGCCTTCCCTGCCAGGGATGGAACAAGAAGCCACAGACAAACCAAGTCACAGTTTGAGAAGGATCAACCAGCAAGTTGCATCAACAATTTCATCACCTTGAAAATGCCTCCATCAGCTGGAGCTTCCGGGGCTGATTCCTCCTCCTGGGGCTGTCTGTGGTGCCCTGCCCACTGCTGGGACCGTGAGGCCCAGGAGCCAGGCCGTGCATGGAGCTGGAGAAGTTCTAGGAGACAGCACACAACAAGGCATCCCAGGGGAGGCAGCTACCGGAAACACTTTCTTTCCAAGTTCCCTGTCCTGTTCTGGGGACAGACCCAGGGGTGGCACGCCATACAAGTATGATGTATGACTCCCTCTGGGTACAGATACAGTCACATTTCTTATTTCTACCATTAATAACCCCTTTAATAACGCTACCTTTATTAGCAGGAAGTCTAGTCATCTACCTCTTGAGCTGTCCCTTTAAACTTTCCAAGAAGGGTAAATTCTTAGTCCAAGGAGGTCGATATTGCGTCTCAAGCCTACTCACCAGCACTGTTGTTTCAGTTGCCGCCACGAGGTGTCGCTGTTGGAAACTGTTTTTGCTCAGGTCAGCGCGCACTTGCCCTGTCTGTTGGGGATGCCCTTGCTGGTACAGGTCCTTTCCAGCCCACAGTAGTGCCACATGCCAGGCTTTAGGTTGGCAATGCTTTTAATCAATACACATACGCATTCCCAGAGTTGACACTGTGCCAGGGTGGCTGCCTCTGGATTGCCGCTATGCGCCTGTGTGGAGGTCACCATCCCAGATTCCCTATAACCTTTTGTGGCCTGGGGTGTCCTTTCTTGCCATCAGACTTTAGTCGATGACACCCCAACAAGGTTTTGTAAGTTTAAATCTCAGGGAGCCAGGGGTAGGGGTCTTAGTTCCTTTCCTCCCTTCAGACTCTGAGATGGTTCTGCCAACGTGTGTCCCCGCCCGCCCCCCCCCCACCTTCAGAACATTGCCTATCAAGGGGTCTTGGTGATGGACCACCTAGCTAGGTTAAGCAAAAAGTCCTGTTATTCCTTTATTTGACAAAGGCAATGATCTGATACCTCGGGCAAGGGGCCTGTTTGCAAAATAGATACACAGTTTTAAGTAAAAGGTGGCAAACAGCAGCTCTTCATAAGAAAAAGGCTTGCCCCAACATGACTCTCCTTCTATCTCTCCAGAGGGGCGGCTGGTAGCTTCTCCTTCAGAATTAATCCAGACCTTGCCTCACTCTGTTCCCTGTTCCAAGTTGTCAAAGTGAAAAAGGGGCAACTGAGACTCAAGGAAGAGAAGTAAATTGCCCAAGATCACCCGGGGAGTGGGAGAAGAGCCAAGACTGGACCCACGTCCATCTGGCTCTAAAGCATGGGCATTTTCCACCGCTCTGCTTCCTGTTCCAGGAGGTTCTGTGGAAAGAAGAAGGAAGATCACCAGAAGTCAGGATAGTCCGGAAAGGCTTAAGAGAAGTGGAGGTGTGACCTGAGCACAGAAACAGGGCTTGGGCTTCTCCCCGGGGACTGGAGGGGGTCCCCCTGCATGGATCGTGTTTAGAAGGCACGGACAGCTTCCACCAGACAGCTGGAGAGGGTTCCCAGGGAGGCACTTAGTGATGGGGCAGCTCGAGAAGCACCAGAGGCTGCTGGTGGCCTATCCCTGTATCCATTCCACCCTATTCCTTAGTTAAAGGCTTCCCAGAATAACACTTCCTTGTCCCAGTCTCCCTTTCAGCCATGTGTGATCGTGTGACTTGGTTTGGGCCAATGAGATATAAGTAGAAGTGTTTTATAGAAACTTCTGGAAAACCTTCTCAAAATAAAACAAGTTCCCCTTTGACCCTTCTTCCTCCCTTCCTCCATCCTGGTGCCTGGGAGATGTATGTAATGGCTGGTTCTCTAACCATCATCTGAGACCATGAGGACAAGGGCCACACTTTGGAAAATGATGTAGTGATGAGCCTGTAACTCCTATAACAATGTGGACCTGCCATACCATCCCTGAACTGCCAATCTGTGATCTTCACTTACGTACTAGGGAGGATCTTCTATCTTGTTTACATCATGGTTATTTGGGGTTTTCTATCACATGTAGCCAAGGCTGTTCCTAACTGCTGTAGCTTGCCTAAATCATTGGAGGATCCTTTTTTTTTTTTTTAAAGATTTTATTTTTTTCCTTTTTCTCCCCAAAGCCCCGTGGTACATAGTTGTGTATGTTTTTAGTTGTGGATCCTTCTAGTTGTGGCATGTGGGACGCTGCCTCAGCATGGCTTGATGAGAGGTGCCATGTCCATGCCCAAGATCTGAACTGGTGAAACCCTGGACTGCTGAAGCAGAGTGCGCGAACTTAACCACTCAGCCACGGGGCCGGCCCCATGGAGGATCCTTGAATGCCAGGCCAAGGAGTCAGGTCTTTATCCTATGGGCCAGTGGGGAGCAGGAGAGTGATATGACAGATGCTGTTTTAGTAACATTCATTTGGCCACTAGGTACACCATCCACTGGTGTGAAGAAAGTGCAGGGCTGCAGACCAGCTGGAAGCTGTTTTTTGTAGCACAGTTGTTGGGATGGTAAGGGAGTGGATGAGATGTCCAATCTGATTTCTCAGTTGGTCACTCTGAGATACCAGGCCGACCCCAAAAGTTCTGCTTCCTCAAAGACGCCATAGCTTTCTAGAAGGGCAGCAAAACCTTGGCATTGAAAGTCAGGTCCTGGCACAGCGGGTGAGCCGTCTTGGGCCAAGAGAAGGCAGTGGGCAGCGGCTAAGAGCACGTTTGGAGTCAGAGCTACGTTGGTTCAAATTTTGGCCCTCTGCTTTAGTAATTGTACAAGTTAGGGCAAATTATTTAATCATTCTGGGCTTTAGTTTTCTCATCTATGAACTAAGGATAAAAAGATCTAGGATTGAGAGCTAAGCCATGTGCAAAGCTTAGCATGGTGTCTGACTGTGGCTGATTCACAGCTGAAATGGTCACACTTACGTGTTTATTTGGGTCTCAGTTATCCCAGTATTTTCATCAAAATGCACCTATTACAATTTGATCACTATAGACAATGAATACATTTTGGCTTGAAATTTTTGGGTAAGTTGGATATATTGGATAAGGTTGTCAATCTGTTTTATGTTCTTCATTTTTAAAGCAATAAATCATACAAAAAAGTTCTTACTCTCCGGTCCTGTTCAGGGTTGGCCTTGTGTGGTATTTGACACAGCGAGTTGAATCGCCAGCGTGCAGTTTTCAGCTCTTGTGCTTTTAGACGACACAAGCACGGACGGCCCTGGGAGGATGCGCAGCCCCTCCTAGACACTTACAGAAACTCCTGCAGCTCCACTTTCTTGCTTCTCTCCCGACAGAGAACCTGATCTCCTGCTTCGCTGAGAAAACAGAAGCCATTAGGAAGGAACAACCTCAACTTTCTGCTTCCAAATCTCAAATCTCCTGCGCCCAAACCCTCCTCTGCCGTCCCCTTGTCCAAGTGGAGCAGGGTCCCTCCTGCCGCCAAGGCCAGGCCCCCCCAGCTGGGGCCTTCTCCTCTGCCTTCTCAGGACCCTTCACTAAACCATCGGCCCAGGTCACTCTTTGTTTTCAACCCCTTTCTCCCAGCTTCTTCCAACCGACCTTGGAAAAAGTTAAAAATTTGTTAAAAACAAAAAAGTGAAGAGTCTTCTTTCCACCTGTGTTAATGAGGAAGTGGATTTGACTGCTATAAAGACCTGACATACCGGGAGTTTAAACAATGAAAGTTTACTTGTCTCTCACATCAGCATGTGGGCCTAAGCAGCCCAGGGTTGGCAGGGTAGCAGGCACCGTGGTGTCAGGGACCTCAGCCTCCTTGCTCGACCAGTCCCAGGGTGTGTCCCTTGTCTGCACAACCTGTGATAACTCACATTCCTGCCGGCAGAATGGGCGAGGAGCAACTGGGAGGACAAGGAGCCCTTCCTTACAAGGGTATGACTTCCATTCACATCCCCGTGGGCCAGTACTCAGCGACATGGCCACGCCTAGCTGCAAGGCAGGCTGGGAAATGGAGCTATTATTCTGCTTCTGAGCTAAACACAGAGGCTCTATTACTACAGAAGAAGGGAGGATGGATACTGGGGTACGGTGAGCATCTTCTGCCACCCCATGCCACATCCCCTCCAAGCATAGGGGATTTTCTCGTTCTCCGTCTAACTTTTCAAAGGAGTTGTCTGCACACATTCTCTCTCTTTCCTCCCTGTGTTTGTCGTCCATAGGGATGAGGGTTTGCAAAAGTGTTTTAGAGAAAGAAAGAGAGAATATTACACAAGTCCATTCCTTGAAGGTGGGCCATATTAGGGGTGGGGTGCTCTACTTGAGAAGACCATGCATGGAAAAGCGAGGTCGGGGGAGCTGGGTCAAGCCTGACACGATTGTCCAGGAATGTGCTGAGCCAAAGAGCAGACTGGAAATCACCAGCAGGAGGGAAACCAGGCTGGAGGCCGAGAGAGAGGAGATCTTGTGTCACACTGAAGGAAAGAGGCCAGGGCACAAATGGTGGCAAGACAACAAGGCTGGCAGCCAAGAGTGGCTGGGAGAAGAGCTGGGGAGGTCAGACAGGAGGCAGTGAGGGCGCACCTTTCGAATTCCTGATCTTCCAGTTCTTTGAGTATGTGGGTGATGGAGGTGTCCTTTTCATGTGGTACCAGCTGTGCTTTCCCAGAATGGAGTAGCTCCTTAAAGGAGTCACACAAAGTAGGGCAAAAGTCCTATGTAGAGTGATTCCTCTCTGCTTACATCTGCTGATACGTATGGTGTTTACAAGGTAACACATGCTTGGATAGGTGAGATAAAATTTGTGAAAACATAGCATTTGATATCAATGTAAAACTACGTTGGGATTAACCTGGATAATTTTTAGAGTCTCACTCACCACCTAGGATCAAATCCTCCTCCTATAGTAATTAGCTCTGTGACTTTGGCCAAGCAACCTGCCTCTCTGTTCCGAATTTATAAAGTGAGGATAATAGCAGTACATTTAGTTTCAGGGAGGTTGGTTAAATGCAGCAGAAAGCCCAATCCAAACTGGCTTTAACTGTAAAAGGGGATTTGCAGGCTTATGTAATTCAAAAAACCCTCCTCCAAGTTGGAGGCTGTGGAACGGAAGAGGCAAGCTCGGGAAACGAGCTGGAGGAATCTGCTCTCTCCATGTGCACTGTTTTGATCCAGGACCCTCCCCCTGGCAGTTGTGGCTTTCTGGGTGTCCTGAGATAACCTTCAAAGACAAAGACAGAGCCAGTCATTGTAACTCTGGAAGTTTGAACATACTCATAAAGGAAAAAGACACTGTAGGTGACAGCAATGCCATGTCCATACTCATCTCCAAGAGGTACATTGTAACCCAGATTGGCAGCGGTTAAGATACCCTTTCTCAGGGCTACAGAATGATTATTCATGAGTCCCAGTCACTTTTGCTTTCGTGGTCCCCTTCCTCCATAAAAAACATTAAAAATTATATCTTATTACTGAGTTGGTGTAAAGGTGACAACACTAGTATTAAATTACTAATATTAAAATGTTTTATCCATCTTCAAAGTTTATTTTTTCCTCCTAATTAAAAAAAAGAAATTAAAGCATTCTTGTGGGCCCCTAAAAGTGTCATGGGCGCTGGGCACTCACCCATTAGGCACCTTGCCTATTGTGCCTAATGGACAAATTGGCCTGGCCTTTATCCCCAGTGCACAACGGGAGGAAAACTTTTGATATCCATCTTTCCGGGAATTTTGTCTCCTTTATGTCACCCATCTCAGCCCTTCTGGAGCTCAGTCTGCCACCTCACTTTTGAAAACTCCAAGTTGTCCAATGTTTCCATGGCAGAATGGGGAATCCAGATCCCCACCAGGGCCATAAAATTTTACGGGCAAAATGGAGGCCTGGCAGAGATGTCCTGAAACTGATTAGCTGGACTCCCACAAGGCTGGAAAGGAAAGTGTCTGGACAATGTCCAGACATTGAAGCTGTTCTGTCTTAAGGCAACTGTAACCCTCTGTCAGTGAATGCGGAATAGAGAGACCCCGAAAATGGTCCCAACTGCTTGCATACTTTCCTCCTTTTTGTCTTGATGTTAAGATTCTATAACTTTGAGTAGGTTCAATCTTTTTAAAAAATTTAAGCCATCAGTATAGGTTAGGTTATGCTGTGGTAACAAACGAAGCCCAAATCTCAGTGCTTAAAGCAACAATGATTTGTTTCCTATTCATCCTACATGTCCCTCTTGGGGTGACTGGGGGCTCTCCTCCCTGGTCCTCTCTCAGGGGACCAAGCTGATGGAGTAGCCACCATGTGGCATGGTGACAGCAGCAGTGGCAGGAAGAAAGAAAATGACAAATTGTGAGTTGGCCCATAGAGTCTGTCACTTGGAAGTGACCCATTGTCACTTGCACTCTCTTTTCTTTGACCACCAAAACTCACATGGCCTCATTAGGAGAGGGGGGAAGTGCAATTCTACTGTGTTTCCAGAAGGGGGAGAATGAGAACATGGACGGCCAGCCTTAGTGATCAGCTCAATACTTTAATCCTTTCATTTTCTATTGAATTCTCACAAAACCTGTGCTCCGTTTTAGGGTTGAGGAAACAGCCTGGGTCCCTGCCATCCTTAGGGACAAGACATGCATCCACCTGCCAAGCTGCTGGTGACATCTTGTGGCCTCCAAGAAGCAGCTGACTCCTGGGGAGGAGCAGGTGACCCTCTCTCTCACCTCCAGGTGACAGTTACCAGGACTGGCCCAGCCTGCTGGGCTGAGGAAGCACCTGGGTTTGGGGAGGTAAGGTTATGATAGGTTTTATAACAGGGCCGAGGGCCCCCAGGGAGGGAGGAGGGGGACATGGGGTCTTTGAGGAGTGAAGGGAATGTGACCTCACTTTGCACTCCCAGCATGAAGCAGGACATGTGACGAGTGGCCCTCCACATGATGGGCTACTTTGTGGATGTGGTTGGGAGGTACAGATGATGACATTGCATCGTGTCCATAACACAAGCTTAGTGAACAAAGCAGGATACAAAAAGTGTGACTGGACTACAGTTTTAAACGAATGTGTGTGTAGCAGGTATGAATCTCAGCCCATATGAGCAAGAAGTCCTTTATTGCCTTTTAATCAATTTAGTTCTGCCTCGGAGCCCTCGCTCGTCCTGGTGGGAATTTTCGCTCAGGGATTCTCAGGTTCCCCATTACCACAGTTGTGCTGGGGTCCCTGGTCCACAGCAGCAGAACACCGGCAATGCTTCTGTGAGTTTTGGTCGTATATAAGCACAGATCCCACTGCAGCCTCCCCCATCCACTCGGTCCCTGTGGGCTTTGGTGCCTGGCCTGGCGCAGGAATCTTGGAGACCCTGGAGACTTGCTCTTTAGACGCCCCCTGTGAAGCATCACCTCTGAAGTCTCGCCAACTCCCTCCTCACATACTCGGTTCTCCTTTCTCCCTTCGTTCCTAATTCTCTGCTGCCTCAAGACCTCTCTCCTCCTGCCCCTTCACGACACATCATCTCTTCTCTGGGTGTGTACGTTTTTCTGAAGGGAGTATGTTAGCTCTGCTATAATACTTGAATGAAGGGATTACTAGCAACACGGAAACTAGATGATTTGAAAATTTCCTGGCTACAAACTCCTGGAAATGCTAAGCTTTCAAGATAAAAAAAAAAAAAAAAAAAGGGAGGAAACCTCCACTGCTAAGTCTAAAGCCAAGACTTCATGTTGCTTCAGGATGCGAGAGGCACAGCGAGTGATGAAACCTGCAAACCAGTGGGTAAGTCTAGAAATAATAATAATTTATAAAACTAATTTAGGATATACAAAAATGAGATGAGACTAAAATACTAGATAACAATAATATATTAAACGGAGTGTGGATGATCTGATTGAATGTTTCAATGTCACTGAATTGTTTAGGAGGGGAATACAGACATTTTGTAACATCAAATATGCATGTTCAAAAGTTGGAGTATCCAGGGACTGGCTCCGTGGCCGAGTGGTTAAGTTTGCGCGCTCCATTTCGGCGGCCCAGGGTTTCGCAGGTTCGGATCCTGGGCGTGGACATGGCACCGCTCATCAGGCCACGCTGAGGCAGCATCCCACATAGCACAACCAGAGGCACTCACAACTAGGATATACAACTATGTACTGGGGGGCTTTGGGGAGAAGAAGAAGAAAAACCAAAAAAAAAAAAGAAGATTGGCAACAGCTGTTAGCTCAGGTGCCAATCTTGTACAAGAAAAACCCATATGTTAAAAAAAAAAAAAAGAGTATCCGGTAAAATAACAAAAATTGAATGTACGTCTTCCATGGGGGATGGAAGTTAAACAAAGCCTGGATTTCCATCTGAAAAGGGAGATGGAGGAAAAATACAGGAATAATATATG